AACATACTGCATAATGTGGTTGCTCAGTTCCTTGTCCACGAAGACTTCCATCGCCAATTTGTTTTTCGTATAAATCAGCATCTGGGAAATCGAATGCCTTGTTATCATAAGAGGGTGGAGTTGTCAAGATTCCTCTTCCAATCACATTGTGAGCCGTACCGGATGTTGTGTCTTTCAAATCGTACACCCTTCCAGTACCTTCGTGTATCTTTTCGGCCGCCAAATCCTTCATTTCAGTCATTTTTTCAGACGCAGAATCTTTTACTTCACGTGCTTTATCAGCCGCGTCCGATACTTTTTGTTTCAGTTGGTCTTCAACGCTGTGCTTCTTGCGATGGGCTTCATCAGCAGCAACATTCTTCAAACCCGCCATTTTTTCCATTGCAGAATCTTTTGCATCCACTACCATATTCGCAGCGGAATCCTTCATTTCGACCAGCTTCTCACCAGCTTCACTTGCTCGGCGCACAGCTGCCTCTTTAGCTCCAGTGACGCTATCTACTGCCGCATTTTTCACCTCATCCATTTTATCTGTCGTCCGATGTACTGCCGAACTAATGCCACCGATCGCCGAATCCTTCATTTCTCCAGCCCGATCAGCTGCTCTTGCCGCAACATCTGTTGCCTTATTCGCAGCTGCACTGCCGGCATCTTTTACCGCATCAACCGCTGCACCAGCGACGCCGACCACCACTCCGGCCGCAGTTGCGGCTCCCTCCGCTGTCGCATGTGCGGCATAACTCGCTTTGTCTTCAGCGGCACTTTTCAACTCTCCAGCTTTTTCGGCAGTTCGCGAAGCCGCTGAGCTGACGCTGTCCGCTGCTGCATCTTTCATTTCGCCAATTCGCTGCGCCGCACCGCTTGCCTTCTGTGCTGCAGCATCCTTCATCTCCACTGCAGTATCAATCGTCGCGTCCTTCAACTCCACCACTTTTCCAGCAGCTGCTTGTCCTACATTCCAAATCGTATCCACCGCTGAACCAGCCGTTCCAGCGACGGTTCCGGCTGCAGTTCCAACGCCTCGCGCCGTTGCATCGACCGCGTGTTTCGCTTTTTCCGCCGCGGCGTCTTTGATTTCGCCGGCTTTCTCCGCCACATCGCTGGCTTTCTGCGCTGCTGCATCCTTCATCTGCACAGCGGTATCCAGAGTAGTATCTTTCAGTTCGCCTGCTTTAACAGCCACCGATTGTCCTGCGCTTCGAGCTGTGTCCGCCGCTACGTTAGCAGCTCCAGCGACGGTTCCGGCTGCAGTTCCAACGCCGCGCGCCGTTGCATCGACTGCCTGTTTCGCCTTTTCCCCTGCTGCGTCCCTGATTTCACCGGTTTTTTCCACTGTGGCGTCCTTGATTTCGCCGGCTTTCTCCGCCACGTCGCTAGCTTTCCGTGCTGCTGCATCCTTCATCTGCACAGTTGTATCAACAGTAGTGTCCTTCCACTCACCTGCTTTATCAACCGCAGCTCGTCCTGCGTTTCGAGCTGTATCCGCCGCTGCGCTAGCGACTCCGGCAACGGTTCCGGCTGCAGTTCCAACGCCGCGCGCCGTTGCATCGACTGCCTGTTTCGCCTTTTCCCCTGCTGCGTCCCTGATTTCACCGGTTTTTTCCACTGTGGCGTCCTTGATTTCGCCGGCTTTCTCCGCCACGTCGCTAGCTTTCCGTGCTGCTGCATCCTTCATCTGCACAGTTGTATCAACAGTAGTGTCCTTCCACTCACCTGCTTTATCAACCGCAGCTCGTCCTGCGTTTCGAGCTGTATCCGCCGCTGCGCTAGCGACTCCGGCAACGGTTCCGGCCGCAGCTCCAACGCCGCGAGCCGTTGCATCGGCTGCCTGTTTCGTCTTTTCCGCCGTGGCATCCTTGACTTCTCGGACTTTTTCTGCCACATCGCTAGCCTTCTGTGCTGTCGCATCCTTCATGTGCACAGCGGTATCGACTGTTGTGTCTTTTAGCTCGCCTGCTTTTCCAGCTACCGACTGTCCCGCGCTTCGAGCTGTATCTGCGGCTGCTCCGGCAGTTCCAGCTACGGTTCCTGCTGCAGTTCCAAGCCCACGCGCTGTTGCATCGACTGCCTGTTTTGCTTTTTCTGTTGCGGCTTCCTTGATTTCTTCGGCTTTTTCGGCCGCCCCGCCAGCTTTCCGTGCAGCTAGATCTCTCATCTGCGCAGCTGTATCAACAGTTCTATCTTTCAATTCGTCTGCTTTTTCAACGACCTGATCCCATTTCTCATCCGCTTTATCTCTCGCTTCATAAGCGGCTTCCTGAAACTTTTCATTGGTTTCATCCTTACCACGGTGTATTGCATCCCTTGAAATTTTATCTTGCTCATCGAAACGAACAGGCATGAAATCGGCACCTTGTCGGACACCGCTCGTATCACCGCCTCCTCCTGCCATCCGCTCTCGATCCAATTTGCCAAGTTTGTTACTGTAGAACTGGTCGGTTTCTTTGATTCTTTCGCCGAAGATGTTGTCACCGGTACTATGGTGCTCAGCATCCTCGAATTTACGCACGTATGGACGTGGTACATAGGGGAATGTCCCACCAAACATACCCGTTTTGACTGTCTCTGCTTTTTCTGTTTTATTGGTATCTGGGGCTTCTGTTTTTGCAGCCTCCGCAAGCGCTTCGCTACTTAATTTGTCCGCTTCATTGCCTCGACATTCTAACCCAGTACCTCGCATACCCATTCCACGATCACCAGTACCAAGCGGGTGCTGCTGCATCTCTTTGATGTAGCGTTGCTTGCCGACAGGGCGTAAATCTTCCTCAGGATTAACGCCGCCATGTTCTTCTTCTTTGTGTGTTCTGGTACCAAGATCCAACAGGCCAGAGTCGCGTGTGACAACATCATCGAATTTGGCTCCACGAGTTGCTTCGCCTTGTTCAGTATAGATGTTAACTCCTCCATAAGCATTAAAATCACCGATACGTGGTTCATGAAAACCTTCAGATGATGACTCTGCCTGCGTTGCATAAGTCTGCGGATTCGTGGTACCACCACCTGTGAAACCACCATTGGCATTGTATTTATACCCAGCAGCACCACGATTTCTGATATCCTCTTCCTTGGTTTCCGGTATTTCTCCACCTCGTAGGTGAATAACAATCTGTTCGTGCTTCTTATCACCTGTTGTTATCTGACCTTCCAATGAACTTGCACGCTGAGTCGCTGAATGTCCTGCTTGATTCTTAAATGGCGATGAGTCACCACCAGTTACCTGAAATTTAAAAATTTTAAATAATGAGACTCTGCTGGCCGCTGGACCACGTAGTAGCCCTTCTTTTTTCTTCCGATCAGACGACGAAATCGTGTCGACAAACAAAAAAAAACCGCAACCTTACGGCAACTTGGCAAAATATGTACATATTTCGGTGCATATATATATATATATATATATATATATAT